TAGACATATATTTCTTGATCTGCTATGTATAATTTGTCAGTAGGTTGTAGGAGTAATATGGTTCCCTCTGGTTTTCAAAACTAGCTAGGCATTATTTATCCCTTGCATTGTCTCTCCCCTCCATCATGGTTTTCCCACTTACAGTGCCCCCGTTTCCCTTCTTTCTCCCTTAAAAATACCCTTCAAATTACTATCCATAGTTCATTTAATCTCACAGCACTCTTACCCCAAGTCTCACAGCATACTGTTGATGGGGTTAGGATTACATCCAGGATTACTTGAGTCCCCAAAATCTGGGGTGTCTATTCTGTATACTATACCATTGCTAGTTTGGTCCTGCCAAAATGGAAGATATCTTCACTTCATGGGCTAGAGATATTTTATAATTTTTTTATTTGCTTGTGGTGAACATGCTCATATGTGCAGATATACATGAACGTGGGCACATGTGCATGTCAAGTCAATCTCAGGTCTGTTTCCTTTGACACTATCTACCTTATTGATTGAGACAGGTACTCTCACTAGTCTGTAGTGTGCTGGGTAAACTGGCTGCCTGTGAGCTCAGGAATCCAATCTGCCGATCTGTACCTCCTTAGTGCTGGGATTATAAGCATGTCACACCACATCTGACTTTTTAGCTTGGGTTCAAGATATCAAACTCATGTCCTCGTGTGTGTAGGAAGCACTTTACCAACTGAGCTGTATCTGCAGCTCTGTTTATTTATTCTGAAATTTCAGTGGGACAAATGAAGGCACCCACAAGCAGGCCTCAACCACACGTGTTTCACTGTTTCTTTAATCTTTATAAAGCACAGTGCTGACTCGCGATTAGCTATCACCAAGCCCTTCACTGTGCCTGGTGTTACTTGCTTTTAGTGCTTCAACCATCCAAGGTGACAGGAAGGCTTGTGGCCTGTAGCTTAACCCCCTTTTTTTAAAAATTTATTTTAATTAGAAGAAGCATTTCATTACAACAGCATTAACCGATTCAATAACATTTTTCTGAGCTAGGGTACATCTCTTTCAAAATTGGCTGTACATTTTTAGGTTTACAGAGGAATTATTACGCTTGTACAATCTTTTACTGATTATAAACTCTACAAGACATAAAATTAAATGAGGTTTTAATGTTTAGAAAAGATCTCCACTTCGTTGTTAAAATACAGTTTCATACAGAAAAATTCATTTTAAGGCAACTGACATTGAGACGTTTTCACATGCATTTCTAATCTCTATATATATGACTATTACTGGTCACAGTCACTTACTTTCTGAGTTCCGTGGCATCTGAGTATGAATATAAACTCGTCAGATAAACAGCCTTCTTCTCCCTCTAGAGCCTCCATACTCTGTCATCCCTGCCAATGTCCACTGTGTTGTCAGGACCCCCATCTATTGCCCCCATCTGTCCTTCTGATAAATCTAGTCAGCCAGAGGTCCCTGTTCCAGGAGGATCAGCTGTTCCTCATCTACAGCAATCCATTGTCAGTATTCCTTTGGATAGAATTGGGG